TTGGGGCACCCGGATTATCTGGGATTGACCTGGTCGGGGTGGGGCCCTGTTTGGGGTCCGCAAGCGTGATCCCGGAAAATCCTGGAACAGTCCGATCTGGAAATTTCCTGCTTCAAGAGGGTACTGGGCAGAATCCACATGGGGCAGAGTGGGATGCTGGAAAACTCGAGTGGAGAACAAATCTGGGGCAATTGCGCGACAACGGGAGCCCCGAATCAACAGTTTTCCCCTCACTACCACCTGCCCAGATAACTCACCCTGACCATTCGATGCCAAATCCTTCCTGGCCGCGACCGACGAGATCTGTCGCTACCGATTTAACTTCCAGAATCAATCGCGACCCATTTGCTGCAGAATCGGTCGCGACCGATCTGGAGTGCCGATCGGCCGCTACGGATCGCGACCGACCGAAAACTGGTATCCAACGTGGTAATGAGCATGATTTCACTGGATCCTTATCCTCACTGGCGTGTCCCCGGGCCCCACCGGCCAATGTACCCCCCATAAATGGGGGCACGGGCTGTTCTCCTCGAGCTTCGAGGGGCACATCCCCCAACTGGGGTGGTGGGATGGTGGGGCTCGGAATGGGAATGGAGGAGCAGGAGGACGAGGAGGAAAAGGACGACAAGGAGGAGGAGGACGAGGATGACAAGGAGGAGGACGAGAAGGAGGAGGAGGAGGAGGAGGAGGAGGAGGACGAGGATGACGAGGAGGTAGATGACGAGGAGGAGGAGGAGGAGGAGGAGGAGGTGGTGGTGGGGATGTGGAGGTAGGGACCACCGACACCGAGGCAAGGCTCTGATATCTCCGCGCCTGCTCCCCTCGCCTCCTGCGGGCCCTCCGCCCCGCGGGCCCACCGCCACTCGGCTCCTCTTCCTCCTCCGCCTCCTCCGCCTCCTCCTCCTCCTCCGCCTCCTCCTCCGCCTGTGCCTCCTCCGCCTCATCCTCCGCCTCCTCCTCCTCCGCCTCCTCCTCCGCCTCCTCCTCCGCCTCCTCCTCCGCCTCCTCCTCCTCCTCTGCCTCCTCCTTCTCCTCCTCCGCCTCCTCCTCCGCCCCCTCCCCCTCCCGCCGCCCTGCCGCCCTGCCGGCCCTCCGCCTGGGGCCAGAGGCGCGCACGGGGCCTCTTCCGACCAGGGCGCGTTGGTGGGGGCCCTCGCACCAGAGCCGGAACCGACACAGATTATCCCAGTGCGACCCTACCTAGGAGTTGGAGGATCTAGGAAGGCAACATCTATATGAAGCTAAGTTAAGCTAAGGTGAAGCTAAGCTGAGATGAAATAAGCTAAGTTAAGATGAGATAAGCCACGCTAAGCGAAGGGAGCGTCGCTGGGGGAACCGCGGAGCGGATACCGGGGGAACCGCCCGGGGCGAGTTGCACTGCCCGGCCCTTTAAGCACACCGAGTAAGAACCCTTCTAGGCAGAGCCTAGGTAGGGAAAAAGGCTCGCTTTAGGAGAGAAGCACCATCAGAGTTATGCTGCTCCCAGCGCACGTAAGGACCACGTCCCAGACACAATCTCGAGCACCCAGGAGAGTGCCGAGACAGTGTCGAACGAGTATCGCCTCCCAGGGCCCGAGTCGAACGAGTATGGCCTCCCAGGGCCCGACACGTGACAACCCTCAGTTTGGGCACTTTCGTGGTACTCGAAATTCTCTCTGGTGGAGCAGACTAAAGTAGGTTGGAACATCACAGCATTAAAGGCCTTCGCACGCATGATCTTCCCCGACGCGGCTCAGGGAGCGGCTCCGCATCAGAGCAGCCCTCGAGGTGGGCACCATAGCCGCTTCACCAACAGGCCAGTCACTGCAGCGTGTTGCCCTCGATTCCATTCCATGCGCAACACCCTCTCCCCGACGTCGTGACTACTTCACTGACGTGGACCCCAGGAGGCCTCGACGCGGGAGTCGACGCGAGGCGGAGCGGCTGGCATTAGGTCGGACATGTCAACCTATAGGCGGATTTTGGACGAAAAATCAAAAAATAGCCCAATGTATTCCAATATGTTTTTACAAAAAATCGTCCCTGTGGTATTTTTTGAATCGAATGCTCCTCCTGTAGAGGGAGAGGCCCGACTTCAGGCTGGCAAGCATCACGAGGCCAGGCAACCTCCTCTCGCATCATGCCCCCCATGCGCTGGAACTCTGGGAGCCTCGGCCGCCCCCCTCCTCCTCCTCTGTTTCTTCTGATTATTATCATTATTCCTCTTCGTCTTCTTCTTATCAATAGCATCGTATCTTTATTATTCCTCAGCATTGTTATCAGTACTCTTATTATTACTCCTCTTAGTATTAGCAGTGTTCTTCTTTTTCGTACTTTTCTTATTAATTCATGATTCGTCTTATTCGTGTTCTTATTAGTTTAGTATTATTATGTTGGCTTTTTATGATTATACTCATACTTATCATTATTATGCCTCCTCCTCCTCCTCCTCATCCTCCTCCTCCTCCTCCGCCTTCTCCTCCTCCTCCCCCCAGGACCCCGACGTCGCGATTTGTTCACAGCGTCGACCCCCACAAGTGTCAACCCTCCCCCTGGAACCAGCTTCGGGGATGGACAGACCCCCCTTTAGTAAAACGTGGTTTAGTGAAAACGACCTGAGGCCCAAACCTGGCGGGCGCAGGCCTGGAAAATAACGGCCACGGCGCCCTCTCGAGAACCGAAAACGGACAATTCACTAATCGACGTGTCACTGTTGGGGGTTCTGTCCACCCCCGACAGCTGTCCATCCCGAGACGTTTCCCAACTCGCCGGCACGCGCAGGGGGGAAGAGGAGCGAGAAGGAGCAGGCCTTCGCAGAAGGCGGCGGGGCTTCTCTTAGCAGCGCCCCCCGGCGCTCCGAGAGGTCTCCTGTGCTTCGCTGCTCCGCCACACGCAACGCGTGGCGTGTTGACACGGAGCGCAACGCGCAGACTGACAACGTAGGTCTGGCGCGACTCGGTCGCCCAAACGTGGACCAACTTGTTTTTTTGATCTGCGGGGCGAGAGCGAACCTCTTCCGCTAAAAGCCAGGCAGGCTACGCACAGTTTTGATCAGGAGGACAGGGCACAGGAAGGAAACGTGGGCCCACACGTGCCGAACCAACACGCAGCGTGTCGGCGCAGGCGTTTTGAACACGGCACGTGTTGGGACCCAACACGGGCGTATCGGGGCAACTCGGCTCCTGTGTCTTCGGGGGAGGCTTCGAAGACCTCTCAGGAGGCCAGAGGACTCCCAAGCCTGCTGAGAAGGCCCGTCCCTTATCACTTCCCCCCCATCGCTCGCCGCCGAGTCGACGCGTCGAATCTCTGGGGGCACCTCAGATCCAAGCACCGCCCAACAGCGCGACGGCGGGCTTTTCTGCACGATCGGCCTCTAAGAGGCCGTCGCTGACACCAGGCCCAGAGCACTATCGGGTCGGGCGAAAGGGGGGGATAGCAAAGGGGGGGTTTGAGAATCAGCTCACGTAGCTGATTTTCCCGGCGCCTCCCGGCGCCGGAGGCGGCTATGTATCGAGGAATGGGCTCCTCGGTAAGGCCGAAACCAGCTGCATGCAGCAAATTTCGTAACCCCCCCTTTCCCAATCCCCCCCTTTCGCCCGACCCGACACTACAACAAAAGACCAGTCGGCCCTTGAAGTAGGAAGGGGTCAAAAGTAGAATTGAGACCTGGGAGCCCAGAGAAATACCTACTCCTTCGACGACGGGCGTGCGTAGACCCAGGGCTCACCAGAAGGCCGCTCGGGGCAAGAGGCAAGACCCGGGGAAAGGGGCTCGATGGGCCTGTATTCCACCACCACCACCATGAGTTGGGGGGGGGGGGGGGAGTGGAGGAGGAGGAGGAGGAGGAGGAGGAGGAGGAGGAGGAGGAGGAGGAGGGCCCCCTCCCCCTCCAGCTTCTGGTGGTGGTGGTGGTGGTGGACAACGGGCCCCTCCGGGGCTCGCTTTTTCCCTCCATGGCGCGCCGCCGGAGCATGCCACGGCCTCCGGGGGGGCCCCGGCGAGGGGCCCCCGGCGAGGCCGAGGCCTGGCAGAGGCACTCTCCACCGCGAGTGCTCGTGAAGGGGCCCACAGACACACAAAGAAGTACACACAGATAAAAGGATTCCCCATATTTTCTTATATGTTACAAGTTTTTGTCTTCCCCCCCACTTCCCATAGTTCCCCAAATCTTCTTGGGAATCGACCATTCATTGTGCCTACGCGTTTTCCCCCTCCTGAGCTCTGGCCTTCCGCTGACTGCCCACCAGGACCACCCCAGCCCAACCCGAAGACCCGAATTTCGGGTGGGGGCGGGGGGGCGGGCTCCATACGTGCTTTCTCCACGTTCCCCCCCCCCCCTGGAGGTGGAGGGCACATGGAGGCCTTCGGGTTGGGTTGGGGTGGTTTGCCGCTGGCCTTCCGCCGAGGGCAGGAGAGCCTGGACTCGAATCGGTGCGCTGGGTTCGTGCGGCGTCGGCGCGCGCCGAGGTTTTCGACACCGCGTCGATCGTTCCACCTGGAGCCGAGCGCGGCCCCGAGCGTGCGAGGTTGAATTCTGTCGGGTCCTGTGGCGTTACCGTGCCCGTCAAGGCTTCCGCGTCGTTTCATCATGCGGAAATTCACCCTCGAACGCCTTCGCCAACGTCGCGGGCGCGCCATCGCCGCACGAACCTACGGCAATCGAAAAGAGTCGGATCGGCGGACATTGGCAGCCAATGCGAGAGAAGTTGAATCGGCGGGCCTCGGCAAGACAAAGGAGGCCTCCTTCGAACAACCGAAATCCAGGTCGGAACCCGAAGTCGGATCGACTCGGAGTCGGAAGTCGGATCAAACTCGAGGAGTCGAGACACGGAACGAACTCGAACTGGATCAAACTCGAAGCGATCGAGCTCGGATGGAATTGGTCGATCGAGAGAGGATCGATGGATCGAGCCCAGCATCGAGTCGATCTCGAAGATTCGAGGTGCGCCCTGCTCCGAGGGCGAGGTACATACGGCCCGAGTGCGGCGAGGACTCCCAAACGCTGGAGCGCCCCCGAAGGCCTGGACGCCAAGGAGCCCGAGGAAGACCTGGGCGTTCGTCTGCAGGTAGATCTCCTCTCGGGGACGTCCAAGCGGGGGGCGCAAGACGACGCCAGGGCGCGGATCAAATCGGATAGGATAAATCAAGAATCTCTGAGACCTGGCGGCTCTGGAGCGTGTCTCAGGCGCCGCGGCCTCAGAGCGTCCCGGAACGCTCTGAGAGAGCTCTGGAACGCTCTGGAATGAACCTGTCCTTGTCCCAGCCCCGCCCGAGGGCGTCCACGAGGGGGGGGCGCAAATCATGGCCGGCGGCACGTGCGCGGCCCAAGGGGCGGGGGCCAGGGACGTAGTCAAATAAGAAGAGGCGCCATGACATCTGGGGAGATGTCATGGCCCCAAACATGGTATCCCCCCCCGGTCATCACCCCCCTCTTGGCCACCCCCGATCCTCGTCGCGCCCGAGCTTCGGCTGGATGATGTCGAGCAGGTCGTCCTGGGGGGGGCAGGTGGAAAGCGGCACCGCCACGGTGAGGGGTGAGGGCATCGGATAAGGAACCATTACTTAAAGAGTGTCCAGGGTCTGGAAGAAGCCGGAGGAGCTTCAATGGAGGCTTGGCCAGGGGTATCACCGCCGCCCTCATCAGAATCCTCCAGGGTCTGAAGCCTCCTGGGCACAGTAATTAACGGACGCCCCCCTGCCGTCCTCCACGGACCTGTCCTGGGGTGCAATTCTGGCAAGAACTCCGAGGAGACGCCAGCCGTAGCGACGAGGCTCTCCTGGACCCGGCTTGCTGGATGCCAGAGCTTCCTGTTCGCGACCGACGAGATCGGACGCTACACTTCTTGCTGCTTCTATATTCTGGTACCGGTCGCGACCGACGTGGAGTGCAGATCGGTCGCTACCGATCGCGTACCCCAGATTTCGTAATAAAAGGGAGGGGGTTTGGACCCTCCAAGACAAGCCATTTCAGACCTCCCCCGTGGGAGAACCTTCCAAAACATCGTCCCCAGACCCCCCAGGCCCTCCAAGATAGCCTGGAAGAGACCGCACCCGACATGAGACCCCCCTCCCTTTATTACGAAATCTGGAGTATCCAATGCTCTCGGCCCCCACGGACACAGCGAGGAATCGGTGCCTTCTCCTCCCCCGACGTCCGGGGACATCAGCTTCGGGCCGCGGGGCGTCAGCAGCGGGATGGGCGGCAGCGGGGGCGTGGGCGCGAAGGGCAGCGGCGGCTTCAGGGCCTCGCGATGATCTTCGGAACGTGTGTCGGGTCGGGCGAAAGGGGGGGATAGCAAAGGGGGGGGGGGTGAGAATCATCTCGCGTAGCTGATTTTCCCAGCGCCTCCCGGCGCTGGGAGGCGCCCATGTATCGAGGAATGGGCCCCGCGGCGGGGCCGAAACCAGCTGCATGCAGCGAATTTCGCAACCCCCCCTTTCCCAATCCCCCCCTTTCGTCCGGCCTGAGTGTGGTAGCGCCAACGCGTGCTTGTCCACCGACGCTGGAGCCGTCTGGGGGGTCTGAGGTGGCCCGGCAGTGGCTCTGGCCAGCAGAAGGGCGGGCAGGTCCGAGACTCTGGGCTCGGGCCATCGCTCGGACGTCCATTCCCTGTGTTTGTTTCGGTTTCGTGCGTGGCTGTTTCGCCAAATAATCCAGGATGCTCCTCGATGGTCGAAAGAAAAATGCACACGTCCGAGCGATGCCAAGGGCTCGGGGAGGTGTTCTGTCGTTGCAGCCTCTGGGGGCCATTGTCGGGCCCAGGGACCGTGAAAAGCGGATCTGGGGCAACAAAAAACACCAGGTCGACCCCAAGAGGGGCCCGGGAACCGATGTTGATCGTAGTTAGCCCCACTGCCCCCTCCAGACCAATTAGCTGGGGCCCCATCCAGTTCAGACCCTCCGGCCGCCTCGAGAACGCAGGAGGAGTTACGGTGAGGGCATTGGCTGAGGAACCCTTGGATACGGGACCCAGGTTATGTTGTTCCCATCGTGCTTCAGGACCACGTCCCAGAAATTATTTCGAGAACCCGGAAAAGTGTCGAAACAGTGTCGTCGAAACAGTGTCGGAAGAGTGCCCCCCAGGCCCGACACGTGGAAACCCTTCAGTTTCGGTACTTTTTTGGTACTCGAATTTCTTTCTGTTGGTTCAGGCTGAAGTAGGTTGGAACATCTTATGCCGAGAGGCCTCAGAGCCGACCCTGGTAAACACTCTGTTGCGTCGGCGGCTAGGGAGAGGGTGATTGCGCTGGTGATACAGGCATAAGCGGGGGTTCTGTTCGAGCGAACTGTGTCACCTTCGAATCAGATCTTCCTACACAAAATCGCAATGGGAAAAGCTGATTCCTGCGCGCACTGCTTCAAAACAAAGCTCGGTGTGAGGTCGGGGCCGGAAGAGCTCTCGGGATCAGCTCATCGAGCTCCCTCCTTACTACTGCGACCCGTACCGGCAAAACACTTGAAATATTCTGGCAAACGCTGGGCCCATCCATTCGATAGCCGCCCTCGTCTGATCAGGAGCCCTCCAGGGCCTGCAGCCTCCCGGGCTCATACCTTCACGGACGCCCGCCTCCTTCCGGGGCCGACGCAGGCTGCGCGCCGTCGGCGGAAGCGAGTGCAGCAGACACGCGTTGGGCTCAGGCACGCTCTGACCCAGGAGGCCGGCTGCTCCCATTTATTCGATGCGTGGGCCCTGGAGGTCTGGACCACTCCCCGCCCTGATCGTTGGACGCTGTAATTGTCCAGTCGCGCCCGACGAGAACGGTCGTTATCGGTCGCGAGCGGTAGGCTTTAGAATCGGTCGCGACTGGTCAGTCGCGACCGATTGGTCGCGACCGATTGGGAGTGCCGATCGGTCGCGCCCGCTGCAATTTTCTGGAGCGTCGACTCTTGGGAGCCCCCAAACCAGGTGGTGAGATATCAGGTGGTGACATGGAATCCCCAAAAAGTCACCCCCGGGTTTTGGGACACGGGCTCACCGCCAGGTCTTGTGACTCCTGGGCCCACCAGCGTTCGGGACATCCTCGAACAAGCGCATGGGTCCCCAGACCGGGTGGTGACACCAAATCGCCCGAGACTCACCGCACCACGTTTGGGGATTACCAAGACTCTCTGGGGGAGATCATCGGGCCTCCTTGAACCGGAGGAAGCCCGCCCGCGTGGCCGACCGGATCACGAGGTCGATGGTCGCCGCGAGCTCCTTGACGATGAGGGGCTTCACGCTCCGCCCCTCGGGGGACAGCAGGAAGGCGACCAGCGTGTCGGCATCTGCGCCGTCCTCCCGGCGGCGAGACCCAGGGGGGGAGCCGTCGGGTGTTGCCAGAAGGGCTCCCGGCCGCAGGTGCACCCCGCGGACCTCCAGGGAGGCCCCCACGGCCTCCACAGCACCCAGGGGCTCCACCACAGGAGGAGGGGAAGAGGGGGAGGGGTGGGGGAGGCAGAGAGGGAGGAGGAGGAGGAGGAGGAGGAGGAGGAGGAGGAGGAGGAGGAGGAGGAGGAGCAGGAAGACGAGGCCCGGAAGGCTCCAGGGGCTCCACGATGGAGCGAAAGGGTGGGGGCACCCTGGGCCAGGGGCACCTTCAGCCCACCCCGAGGCATGCCGACGGGGGCGGGCCTTGTTCGGCTACACGCAGGAGTGACCCTGGGTAAGAGTGAGCTTTGGTGCGAAGGGAGGATGAGGAGGTCCTCCTCCTCCTCCTCCTCCTCCTCCTCCTCGCTCCTCGCTCCTCCTCCTCCTCCTCCTCCTCCTCCTCCTCCTCCTCCTCCTCCTCCTCCTCCCCATCCTCATCCTCATCCTCCCTCTCCTACCTATGGTCGTGGCTTTTTGGGGGCCGCGGGGGGGCCAAACACACAGGCGCGCAAGGCGCTACTATCGCATCACGTTCGGCGATCGGGACGTCTAGTCGACTTGTCCGAAGGCTCGGACGGCCTCCGGCCTTCTCGCCTTCTGAAAACGCCCCGCCGCCGTCTCGCTTCCCCTCTGGGCCCGCCGCCGACCCTCTCCACCGCTGGTGGGGGCTTGCCCATACTTGGTGGATATCGCTACAGCCAACCAGTACAGTAAGGATGCGCGATAAGGAAACAAGGGCCTTGGACGCCCATTTCGAAGCTTTTCGAGCGGGGCGCGGCCAGCGAAAGCGGCCAAGGATGAACCGAGGAAGCAAGGATGCACGGGTACCCTTGGGAAGGTTGCCCGTTCTTACTATGCGGGCTGACTGTACTCAACGGACCTCTCCAAGCGTGACTTCTGACTCGGATGTCGACGCGAAGCCCGCCGTGGCGACGAGGGCCGTCCAGGAGGCCCAGAAAGAGAGAAAGGATGCAAGAGTGGAGGTTTCGGAGAGACAGCGTTTCGCGGGCGCGTGCTTGAAAAAATGCCCATCCACCCAACCCCTCTGAAACCTGGGGGGTCTCCCCTCCCCGGGGCTCGAATGCGGGAAGAGGGGGGGGACCTCCCTCCTCGGAATCAGAGGGGGAGTCAACCGCACGTCGGACCAATCCCAACCGACTGGTACCAATTACAACCGACCTGGCCACTTCTCAACCGGCTGAACAAAAACCAATTGGTACCAAATACAAACAGCCACATCGATCCGACAATCTGACCCGATGAATACAATATTGAAAACGATTCAAACATCAGATGAACGTATTCAAAGTACACATTCATTCTGGGACTCTATATGGGCGCCCCGGTTGGAGCTGATACGAAGATAATTTCTGGACTCTGGAAACTGTGTTGCCATGCGACAGCCACTCCTTACAACGCATACCACCCCAAAACAACAACCCATATCCAACAGACCAACAAATATTCGCAGCATCCACCCACACATCCTGCATAACAACACATAATCATCCAAAGCCTGGATTATCATCCTGCTTGTCATCGTCCGTTGATTCCCTCCTCCTTCCTGCCTCCTCCCTCCTCCTACTCCTCGTCCCTCCTCCTTCTCCTCCTCCTTCTCCTCTTCCTCGTGCTGTCTTCCTCAGATTTCCCCTCCTTCTCCTCCTCCTCTCCTCCTCCTCATCATCATTATCCTTCTCATCCTCTTCCTGTTTTCCTCCTCTTCCTGCTCCTCCTCCTTCTCCTCCTCCTCCTCCTCCTCCTCCTCCCCCTCCCCCTCCTGCTGCTCCTCCTTCTCCTCCTCCTCCTCCTCCTCCATCATCATCATCATCATCATCATCATCATCATCATCATCATCATCATCATCATCATCATCAGCATCATCATCATCATCATCACTATCATCCTCCTCCTCTTCCTCCTCCTCCTGCTGCTGCTGCTGCTGCTCCTCCTCCTCCTCCTCCTCCTCCTCCTCCTCCTCCTCCTCCTCTCCTCCTCCTCCTCTCCTCCTCCTCCTCCCCCTCCTCTCCTCCTCCTCCCTCCTCCCTCCTCCCGTCCTCCTCCTCCTCCTCCTCCTCCTCCTCCTCCTCCTCCTCCTCCTCTTCCTCCTCCCCTCCCCCTCCTCCTCCCCTCCTCCTCCTCCTCCTGCTCTCCTCACCTCCTCCTCCTCCTGCTCTTCCTCCTCCTCCTCCTCCTCCTCCTCCTCCTCCTCCTCCTCCTCCTCCTCCTCCTCCTCCTCCTCCTCTCCCTCCAACCCCCAAGCTGGTCCGTGGAGGTCGAGCATGGCTCAAGATAGCCCCCGACAGACCTCGAAGAGGCTTCAAGGCAATCTCAACATGGCCCAAAATAGCTGGGCATGGCCCAGGACAGCTTCCGACAGCCTCTAGCCGACATCGGCTCAACATAGCCTCAAAGAGGCCTAGAAAGCCTCCGATCGTGACTGGACGGGCTGGTGGGGATAGGCGAAACGTCAAACGTTTATGTGTTTGCTTCAGCATGCATTCGATCGGGAAGCGGGGAAGGTGGCGGCGGCGGCGGAGGGCAGGGTGACTCGTTCGGCCACCCTCTCCCTCCCCATGGGATCGTAAGCTCCCCGACACTCCGAGGGCACGAAGCGCTTCAATTGGAAGCTTCCCCCCCGGAGATTCGTTGGGCTCCTCGCCCGCAAATAAGGAGGCGGGGGCCGAGCGGTTCGGCGGCGGCGGCGGCGGAAGGCAAGGCGACTCGTTTCGCCACACCCTCCCTCCCTATGGGTCCCGGAGCCCCCCGAACACACCGCGGCAAACCCACGGCGACCCCACCGCGTCCGAGGCGGCGTTTGCCCTGGAGGCCAAAGTCGTCCTCTCCAAGACGACGTACGGCCGCGCGTCGCAACAAACGGAGCGGCGACAGATGTGTTGTCTCAACGTTCCACGACGCCCCCCCTCCCACCGGGAGTGGAGGTCAAGTTGGGGCCTTCGGGCTGGGTTGGGGCGGTTGGGCGGGTGGTGAACTGTCCGCCTGACGGTCCCGAGGCCTGGCGAGGGCCCCGGGAGACCGAACACTGCAAGGGACCTCGCGCCGTGACCTTCCCGTGACGCTGGGGAGCCTGGGATCTGGGAACTGAGGGTCCCCCCCGAAGACCAACTACCGTCCGAGATCAGTGGATGCAACGTGTTTTCGGTCGCAAGCGGTAGCGACCGATCCCCGCTCCAAATCGGTCGCGACCGATCGGTCGCGACCGATTCTGAAACCAATCAATCGGTCGCGACCGATACCGGCATTGGAAGCAAAGCCGGCAGCGACCGATCTCGCCGGTCGCGACTTGGAAAACTCCAGCATCCAATAGGACCAGGGGTTGTCTCAGCTCGCCCACGCCCCCCGGCAAACTCCCCGCGCGGAGTCGGGAGGGGGGCGTCGAGGCGGGGCAGGGGCAGAGGCGGGGTCCAAGGAGCATCGCTCAGAACGGCCAGTGCAAGAAGGACGCGTGAGTATCCAGCTGGGTGCGTTCCCTAACCCGACCTCGGGAGACCCCCCCCCTCTGCGAACCTTCTGCGGCAGCGCATGGGAGCCGCCTATATCCCTGTTGTCTCATCGACGCGGATCGAAGCTGCGTCGACGCTAAATCGATGCGAATCGACACGAATCGACGCTAAATCCACGCTGACCGACGCTAACCGACGTTCATCGACGCTAAGCCGGCACCACCGCATCGATCACCAGACGCAATTAGACGCTGGTGCACTCGGACGCCGGAAATTGCGGGGGTATGCCAGGCTCCCATGACTTGCTGCCGAACGACCCTCCCCGAGTGCATTGAGGGGCAACTATCGGGGGGGATGGGCATAGGGGGGAAACGTCGACCTCGAATGGGCGATACATCGCCGACAGATCGGCGATAGGCCCCCGATTGAGAATCCGCACGTTCCTGGAAGAACGCTGGGACTATCGGGCCCATATCGGCGATCAATGGGCGATGGGGGGTCGATGAGGCCTCCCCTCCCCCTCCTATGCTTATCCCCCCTATTGTCAGAGCGTGAATTACCTCCCCCGTTTTCGCTTCCAGGCAAAACCAAGCCATACCACGCGCCTCCTCGTCAAGCGGCCTGACCAGTACAGGCCGCAATTTGGCATCGTTTGGTATCTCTTGCAAGCGAGGGTGGTCAAAAGCGAGGTAGGTTTGTTTTCCCCCTATATTGGCTGCCCCGAGTGTATCCTCTGGCACCGCGTCGAAGTCGATGAAGCCCGACCGGTCGCTCTCGGCGGCCGCCACCCCCACGGCGGCCTGCAGCAGCGCGGAGAGGCGCACGGGCTGCACGCGGCCGTCGGCGCCGAGCAGCAGCCCGCGCAGGGCCGTCGTCAGCTGGGCGTTGCCGGCGCCGCTGCGCTCCAGCAGCTTGCGGACCATGTAGGGATAGGCCTCCCCAAACGAGCTGAGAGGGTTTCGACATACGGCGAGGGCACGGGATACAGAAGCCTCGGACAAGAGATCCGGGGAGTCCAGAAGCCGGTGGAACTCAAGCCGTAGACGGGCCATGCACCCTCAACAGAGGAGGAGTCCCCCCAGGATCCGACGCCTCCTGGGCACATTCCCCAACGAACGCCACCACCGTAACAGATCATCACTAGCCACAAAAGCCGAACTGCCGATTTTGAACATGAACTGACGACCATCTGTCGCTAGATTGTTAATGATGGGCCACGTCTACATCGCACAGCGCAGGCGGGGGGCTGTGAAGAGGCACGCCACTCGTTGCCAAAAACCTTGCCCCGATGTGCGGCCGCCGCAATCGCCGCAGCGTCAACCAAAATCGACCCAGAGGTTTGGCTCTGGGTCCGATGTCACGCAACAGAGATTGATGGCTTGGGTCGCCGGACGTCAGACGAGTTGGCGAAAACCATGTCGGAAGCGTTCCGCCGTTTGCGGCCTTTGGGTGACCTCGTCAAGCCCCGGGCCGTCAAGAAAACGGCTCGGGATGGATCACTCGGGGGCGGCCAAGACGGGGGGCGTCCAAGAGGAGGGGGCGCACATCATGGCCGGCGGCATGTGCGCGTCCCAGGGGGGGGGGGGGGGGGCAGGGCAGCAACGAAAGACGAAGAGGCGCCGTGAAATCTGGGGAGGTGTCATGGCCCCCGCCATGACATCTGCTCCCCCCCTCGCCATCCCCCCCGCCCCCTCTTCGCCGCCCCCGAGGAACACATGGTCCCGTGGAGAGGGTCCGGGCCTCTGACGTCCACGCTTCGAGAACATCACGACGTCGGGGCTCTGGGTCTAGGTCAGGCGTGTCCCCCCATACGGGCGGATTTTCGACCAAAAATCAAGAATAGTCAAACAACATCTAAACGATGGTCAAAAATACTAGCAAAAATAGTCCTTGCAGTATGCTTTGACTCTTTTTGAAACGTCCCCCTGTAGAGGGACAGGCCCGACTTGACTCTGGGTCGATCCCCCCCCCACCCTGGCCTCCCCGACGAGCTGATAGCTCGGGTCGCCCTTCAGCGCGATCCCCTCCAGGGTCACCACCGACCTGGCCAGCAGCGACACGTACGGCGGGATGGAGAAGGGGATGGAGGTGGTCAGCGTGAGGATGTCCTGGCCCAGGGCGGAGAAGTTCATGGCCTGGGCCCCGCCGCCCTTGAGGTACTGGCGCAGCACCCGCACGATCGGGGGGGTGACGGTGGCGCGGTCGCAGTCCGGCGCGAGGAACTCCAGGGCGATCAGGTCGTCAACCAGGCCGTCCCAGTTTTGGGTGCCCAGATGGATCACGGCACTCACGATGTTGTCCCGCTCTTTCTCCGGAATCTGTGCGACGAGGCCGAAGTCCAGGAGCACCAGCTTCCCCTCGTCGGGGCCGCTGTTGACGTACAGGAGATTGCCTGGGTGAGGGTCCCCGTGAAAGAAACCCCAGGCGAGCAACTGATTCAGGAAAACCTCCTGGGCATCCTTGATGCCGGCTTTGATGCGGTCTGCGGGCAGCTCCGACAGCTTCGTCCCGTCGATCCACTGGGACACGAGGACACGCCTAGTTGTATGCTCCAGGAAGACGTTGGGCACGATGACGCCCTTGCAATTGGGCGTGTTCGCGATGTATTCGGCCATCTTGATTTGATTGAATGCCTCGTTGCGGAAGTCGAGCTCCGTGTAGAGCCCCTCGCCGAATGTCTCCACCAGTGCTTTGAAGTCCGTCGTCGTCGCGGTCAAAGTGTTGGAAAGCTCGGTGACCACGCCAGCAGCCTTGCGCATGACATACAGGTCTTTGCTGATGGTCGGGAGCGCATTCGGCCTCTGGACCTTAATGGCCACCTCCGTCCCGTCGAGCAGCTTGCCCTTGTACACCTGCGCCAGGGATGCCGCAGCCACGGGCTCCTCCGAGATCTCCGCGAAGACCTTTCCGAGGTCCTCCACGCCCAGCTCGGACCGCATGATCTCGCGGGCTGTGTCCGAGTCGAAGGTGGCGATCTCGTCCTCCGAGGCGGATGAGCGGGAGGGGAGGAGGAGGAGGAGGAGGAGGAGGAGGAGGAGGAGGAAGAGGAGGAGGAGAAGGAGGAGCAGGACCAGGAGGAGGAGCTGGAGGGAGGGAGGGAGGGAGGGGGAGGGGACGGGAGGGGAGGGAGGGAGGAGGAGGAAGGGGACAGCAGAGGAAGGGGCTCAGCGAAGGAGCCCACGCATACTTGTAGCTGCCTTCTCCGGCGCCCCCCCATGCGCCGGATGCGGCAATGCGTCGAGAAACGCGCGCCTGGAGGGGGGGCCGACGCCAGCTGACTTCGAACCAGCTGACTTCGTGCCCCCCCAATTCCCATAGCCACCCTGAAGCCGGGCGTGTCCCTCGACAGGAGGAATATCCAAGTATAGTCAAAAACAAAGCACGGGGACGATGTTCTTAGTATGTTCGAATATGTTTTGCGTATTTGTTGAATCTGTTTTCGGTGTCGTCCCAAATCGGCCTGCAGGGGGACATGCCCGACCTGAAGCCACCCCTGCCTTTCCTGGGTCACCTCACTGCGCGCGTCGCGTCCCGCGATGCCCGCCGCGCGAATCTCTTCGCGCCCTCGCGCCGCCGCGCGGGAGCAGGGCGCCTCTCCGAGCCGGGCCGCGGCGCGCGACGCGCGACCCTCCTCGCAGGCTCTGGGAGGCCACGCTTCCCCTCCTCCCCCTCCCACTCCTCCCCCTCCCCCTCCCCCTCCCCCTCCTCCTCCTCCTCCTCCTCCTCCTCCTCCTCCTCCTCCTCCTCCTCCTCCTCCTCCTCCTCCTCCTCCTCCTCCTCCTGGGGGTGACCTGGCTTACGCGCGGCGGGAGGCCTGCAGCCGGCTGAGCTCGTCCATCGCCGCCTTGGGGAGCACGTCTGGCCGGATGCTGAGCACCTGCCCGAGCTTGATGAACGTGGGCCCCAGGTCCTGCATCGCGTCGACCGCCTCCCTCGCCAGGCTGCCCTCCTTGGGTAGGAAGGCACCAACTATACACCAACACCGATCCTGGCCAGGATCACCCTGGGCCCAGGATCGGTGTATACACCCTCCTGCCTTGCGCAAGAAGGCATATACACCGATCCTTGGCCCAGGGTGATCCTGGGCCAGGATCGGTGTTGGTGTATAGTTGGTGCCCTCCGATTGGGGGAGACGTGCGGTGCAGGTCTCCACCTAAGCAGTGTGTTTTGCGCGTCCGTCGTCTTGTCTTCGTTCTCCCTCGTTCTGTCTTCGCTGCGCCTCTGCCGCAAAACGAACTCAAACCGAAAACGGACGACGAGATCGCTAAAACACCGTTTAGGTCGAGCCCTGGCACGGTGAGGACATCTTGCTCGGCGGGTCGCGGCGGCGGAACCGGCGACAAACCATACCCTGCGAGCTGACAAGCGTCCCGCTCCGCTCCGCGAGGGCGGGAGACTGGGAAAGGGCTCGGAACGGTTGACGCCTAAGGACAGGGACATGGCGGCGCGGGGGGAAGAGGCAAATCCGCCGACACTTCGTCGTGAGGAAGACGCTGTCCACAGAACTCGATGAACCAGGACAAGAAAAGTGGTTGTTAAGTCGAAGGGAAGCCCCTCCCCTTTCGGGAGCGGCCAAGAGGGGGGTGTCCAAGAGGGGGGGGGGTGCAAATCAGGACCGGCGGCATGTGCGCGGCCCAGCGGGGGGGCCTGGGACGCAATAAGATAAGAAGAGGCGCCATGAAATCTGAGGAAAAATCACGGCCCGCGCCATGAAATCCCCCCGCCCCCTTGTCATCACCCCCCTCTTTTCCGCTCCCGACATCTTTGATCGGTGCACTCCCTGCCGGGGCAGGGGCCTCCTGGCAAAAACCGCTCCCCCCCCCCTCCCTGGGTCCAAGCGGGTCCTGGAGCCTTGGGCGTGGCTTCATGGGGGGGTCACAAATGGGGGGGGTCAAAAAAGATCCCCTCTCGCGCCCCTTTCGGGCCCCTCCAAAGCCCCAGGGGGCTCGTCTAGGTACCGTTTGGGTACCTTTTCGAACCACCCTCGCCACCCCCCCATTGACTACATACCAGACCACCCCAACCCAACCCGAAGACCCGAATTTCGGGTTGGGGGGGCTATGGGCTCCATATGTGTTTTTTCAAAGTTCCCGGACCCCCCCCCCACTAGAAATCGAGGGTAAATCTGAGCCTTCGGGTTGGGTTGGGGTGGTTTGTTGGGTGGTGACCCATTTATGACCCCCCCATTACGCGGCGCCCAAGAGCCAGTCGCCAGCGGGGCTCCCGGGAGAGGTCCCGCCGGCAGGGCCGCCGGCACCGGCCGCTGACGTTAGGCCTTCGAAATCGCCCCAGACGGCGCACGAGAGAGGGGAATGTGAGCACCCAGCTGGGTTCGCTCCCTCATCCCACCCCCCCTCTACGATAAGGTCGGGCATGTCCTCCTGCAGGCGGATCTTGGACAAAAAACGACAAGTAGTCAAAACGATCTCAACAGAAGTAATCAAACATAGTCAAAAATTCGTCCCCATCTGATTTTTGATTATTCTTGAATATCCATCCTGTAGAGGGACATGCTCGACTCAAGTCTACGCCCCCCCCGCTCCTGCTGCTGCAGGTTACCGGTGACCGCAGCACCGAACGCTTTGGCGATCCAAGGGGTCGCGTAGCCGAGGAAGTCGCCCCAGCGCCCAGAAAGCTCCGCGGGGTCGCGGCCCCAATCCGCCACCGTGCCAGGCGCACGTTGAGGCATGCTCGAGTGCCCGGTGGATGGGCTGGAATTCCCACAGGTTTCCAGAATCGGTCCCCCTGCTTGCAGCACTCCACCAAAAAAATGCACGGCCCTGCTTTTTGCTCTCCAGCGCCAGCTGGGTCCCCAAGATGGCCCTGAGACGGTCCAACACCGCCGCAAGGTAGCTGCAGTATCCCCTAACACCATCCGTAGCTTATCGACGTCCCAGAGGCTCTAGGATGCCAAATCGAGACTTTCAGAAGACACCAAACAAGTCGGCCACGCCATGCCATAGCATTGTAGCACTGCCCCCCAAACGGCCACAGTATTTCTTTACCAAGGCTTCCGTGAGAGGTAGGAGGAACCATCGCGCCTAATGTACTCTAAAAGCACAGTGGGCATCCGCGGGAACCGTGCAGATCAATGATTATACCGAGCCTTTTTGGAGAGCTCGGCAGAACCATTTGGTATTCATATCGATGCTGTGCTGGCACAGTGGGCGGGCTCGCCGCAGGCAGCTGGATACTCATTCAGCTTCGTGACGCTGTACACCAGTGGCAGCCCATCCTCGTCAACCTGCTCGCAGTCAGACGGGTCGACCTGGTGGGAGACGAAGCTGACCCTGCAACCATCGTCGTCAATCTGCTCCTCCCCGGGCGCGTCCTTGGAGGCCGCACACATGAGTCCAGAGTGGACGGCGCCGGAGGGTTCTACTGCATCGCCGACGCATCGGCGGCTCATCGGCGACACCAGGATGGTGCAAGTCAGGCGCCCATTCGCGCCAAATCGCCGACGGGCGATGCGGCGCGATCCTCCGACCCCATCTATTCCATTGTGTGGTCCGCTCCTGTTGCTTCAACCCCAAAGGTCGGGTCAGAAATCTGGTCTCCGACGGCCTTTCGGAACGAATCGGGCCCCCCGGACGCTCTCGGCGAGGCGCAGCTGCTGGAAAGCATCCCGAGGCTGGAAAACCGACGAGAACATCCGAAAACGTCAGAAAAAGCCTCGGACGACCCAACATTGGGCGGCCCCGTGTCCTTCTCGACGGCCTTCACGGCGGCCTTGATGGCCTCCTCGGCGACCTTCTGCGGAGCCTTGAGGGGAACGAACGGGGGGAACTCTCCAACGGGGGGGGGACATCGACCTGCAATTGGCGATGAGACATCGCCGATAGATCGGCGATGTATCGCCACTCTGGGCGGGGTGGGCTATCAGGCCTCTACCTCGGGCATCGCTAACGCGCGTGCGCGCCAGATGCATGGATCGGCGAAGGTACCAAGCATGAAACCATGCGCGCCTGACTTGGCAACGGAGCGCTGGAAACGGGACCCGTTGCTGATACACGTCTTAATACATGGTCGCGTTTACTCGGCGACTGACACATGCGAAAATGAATCTTGCTGTAAAACAAAATGGAATGCATGTCTGGCCGATCGTTGAAGGTCCCAAGGGCGCCCTAGAGCTTCTGCGGGTCTCTGGGGAAATCAAGGGATAAGACACTTCAGCGGGGCCATCAAGGGCTAGACCTGCTTGCAGACTGATCTCGTATCTGATGTGCCTATTGCATCGGCGACGATATGTGCGTTGGGGTAACACGGCGTTTTCAAAACGTGAACCAACCCCCTGGAGGTCTCGACCAATTCCTCGGGATTGGGGCCAGCTCCTCATCCCGAGTGGTTTTGCTGACAGTCCCGCCACCTGGCGAAGGCCCCCATTGAGGCCGAAAGTAGCTAATATCCATTCGTACTTGTTTTAGGTCGGGCATGTCCCCCTACAGGCGGATTGCGAAAGAGGAAAAAAATACGCCAAACAAATCCCCCCCATTACTCAAAAATAATCCAACAAGTCGTCCACAGACTATTTCTTTTACATTTGGGAATGTTCCTCCTGTAGAGGGACACGCCCGACTTAACACTTGTTCCACGCCGCGAGGGGGCCCGGGCATGAGCCTAGCCCCCTCCCACTTTAACTGGAAGCCTCCCAGTTGGTGTCGGAGTAGATTTAGGTCGGGCATGTCCCCCTACAGGCGGATTTGAGACGAAAAACTTAAATGCCCCCAGAATTCTCCAAAATGGCACACACACATTGACTAAAAACACGTCCCGATGTATATTTTTGGGGACAAATCTTTGAATACTCCTCTTGTAGAGGGATAGGCCCGACTCACGAGTAGATGGGAACGAAGGATCGCGCCGCATCGTCGATGCATCACCGATACATCTACGCTGCATCGACGACGCATCGGCGACGTCGGCGATGCATCGGCGACGT